TTGACCTCGTGATCCACCCGCCTCGGCCTCCCAAAGTGCTGGGATTACAGGCTTGAGCCACCGCGCCCGGCAACAATATGTAATTATTTAATGTAGCAACCAGAGCTAATATCTTCATTCTTTATAGCTCTTAGAGCTATAAAGAGAACAATCCAAAATAGACATTCAATTCTAACCTTCAGGACTGCTATCTGGCTCATATGTGTGTTGAGTTCCTTGTTCGAAGACAGTATTTTTCTTTCTCAATATTTCCAAGCTGTCTAAAGCAGTACTGTGTTCAGATAGTGACTTTAAAATGGAAATGGTATTTACTAATCCAGAAAGTTTTGAAGAATTTTTAGGATTCCAGTATTGGTTGTCCTCTCCGGAAGTTTCAACTTCAATATGGTTAGGGGGTAGACTGATAATCTTTCCCAAATCTTCAGGTTCAGATTTATGTGGTTCTGTGTCTTTGGAAATAAGATGATTTTTTCCCAGTGGGTAAAACAAAGAATTGAAAATGTGGGTATTTGATTTATCAAGTGTAATACAATCAGAGTGATTCTGATTGGTATTTAATAGTTGGACACTGTTGTCACTACTAGAAGTTGATGGTAAAACATGTTCATCATTTTTGTCTAATAGGTCACTTTCCAAAATAAAAGGATGAGATTGAGCATCTTCTGAAAATAGGTTACTGTTTTCAGCAGTCTGGTTTTGAATATGAGGAATATGTGAATTCATGTTTGTATCTTTAGATTTATTTGGGAGTAAAGCAGAGTCATAGTTAATTCTGACTTTTTGAATACATTTATTAGCATCTTCTTTGTTACCTATGTATACATCATCAGTCCACTCAAAAGATTCAGAATTGCTCAATGTGTCACTATACCCCTCTATTTCTTTTCCAGTGTTTCCAGCTTTACAAATTCCCATGTCAAAATCCTCAAAAGTTTTATCACAAAACTGTGATGGCAGAGTCTCTTTAATAGGAAATGTCTCTGTAGGTTTGCCACCAACAGATGTCAAGAGTGGCAAATGTTCACCCTCAATCTCTTTAGAGTTTGTATTCTCAGACCTCTTTTGAACACATAAATTGTCATCATTAACCAAAATGTCCTTTACCCAGCTCTCTGAATCCTGGGAAATTTTTTTGCTTTCCTGTGACTCCTCTTCAGTGTCACTGGTTACAAAATTATTCAGATTAAAAGTTACCTCCAAAAATGGTTGTGTTACATTACTCAGCGATTCATGAATACTATTAAGATTTTCATTATCCATTTTACTTTTAGAAAACATGTCTGTAATGTCATCAGAGATCATAGCATTATTACTAGATTCAGTTTGGAGATGTTTTGGTTCTGGCAGAGATGACTCTGGTTGTTCACATTCCTTTTCCAGTGTTCCACATGTATTTACCTCCTGATCATTTTCTTTGACAAGAACTGATCCTTTAATGCACACCTTGTCATTTTGATTAAAAGGTATTTTATTATCTTCTTGAATGTCTGATTCTGATAATGTACCATCATTTTCTGCACTTTTACAGGTAACCTGTAAGCCACTGCCATCGCTGGATGAAGGAATTTCTAATTTTACTTCTTGATTCCAGGATTGATCATTATTACCCACTGACTTGTCTATATTACACTTTTTCCCCTCTTCAGCACATGTTTCAAAGAACTGTATCTTTTTTTGTAACAAAAGATCTTTCAAATTAGAATTCATATCATCTTCCTGAGCCCTGGGTTTCCTTTCTGTATCATGCCCATCTTCAGTAGAAAAATCCATAGGTGAACTTTGTGAGGATAAATACATGGCCCACTGGCTTTTACTTCTCATGGTATTTTCTGATTGATGCTGGGAGTATAAATTGTCTGTGCTCTTCATCTCAGCACACTCTTCCTGTTGAATTACATACTTTGATTTAGTAGCAATTTTTAAACTTCTATGTGGTTGTTTTTGAGGAAAATGCTCTGTTATCTCAGAATTTAGTTCCTCACATGTACCAGTTGAATGGGACTTCAGAAGAGCTAATATCTGTGCTTTGCTTCTGATGTTTTGTGAAATTCCTGAACAGTGGGATGCCAAACTATCTCTTTTCACAGGCTCATTGGTCAGTAAAGAGTCTGAAAGTTTACTTCCAGAATTCATAGGAGAGCAAAAATAATTTTCTTCACATAGCACTTCTGAGTTAATGTGGAAGGATGGAGAAAAAACTGAAGAAAAATCCATGGCATTTCTCTCTCTGTTCTTGTAAGTCACAACATTCTCAGGGTCTGCTGGTATGTTATTTACATCCTTCTTGCCAACAGTAGGAAACAAAGGAGGCATGCTGTAGAATGGAGAAAAAAAAGTAGGGCCAGGTTTCTGAGCTTCATGTGATGCAGCCGATTCACTGCTTTCCGTAGTAACCATTTTCTTTGGAACCTGACGTGGTCCTTGAAAACCCTGAAAATATTAAAATAACTGTTAGCTGTACCATTACCCATAAAGAAAATGTGAAATAAACTGGCTAAGAAAAAAAAAAAAGAATAAGGATTGTTTGTGCTTTGCCTAAGGTAAAGTAATAATTCAGATTTTAAATTGTTACATTACATTAATTTGTAATAAGATTTTTCAAAGTAGGGTTTATTTCCTTTCTACCTAAGTATACTGTTAAGTGCCCTTTGAATGACAAAGTATAATCACTTCAAAATTCACTACTTTTTGAGACAATTTGATAAATATATCTGATGTATTATTTTCCACAGAAAAACTTACAGTAAACTTCCTTTTTAAGCCAGAGGGCTGACATCCAAGAGATCGGCCAGAGGATATCAATGTCCTTGAATTTAACTCTGGTGCTTCTTTATTCATATTCTGCTTAACAATACCTGTGGCTCCAGCAACTTTAACCTCTTCAACTGTGATTAAGTATCGATCACTTTCTAAGTCATCTCCAGGTTTCACCTAAAATTTAAAGAATAAATATTAAAATCACATACATCTAATTTTTGATTATCTATGTATTCCAGGATGCTCACTAGCACTAAAACAAAATAAATAGGTGTTGAACGAATAAATCAGTACCTAAAGTCTTCAATTATTTATTATTATATACTAGTTAACTATTAATAAGCACAAAAAAGGACAATAATATATTTAAAATTTTATGTTTTTTTTTTTTTTTTTTTTTTTTTGAGATGGAGTCTCACTCTGTCACCAGGTTGGAGTGCAGTGGCACGATCTTGGCTCATTGCAGCCTCCACCTACTGGGTTCAAGCAATTCTCCTGCCTCAGTCTCCCAAGTAGCTGGTATTACAGGCATATGCCACCATGCCCAGCTATTTTTTTATTTTTAGTAGAGACGTGGGTTTCACCATGTTGGCCAGGATGGTCTCCATCTCTTGACCTCCCTCCTTGGCCTCTCAAAGTGCTGGGATTACAGGCATGAGCCACCACATCCAGCCTCTAATTTATTTATTCAACAACACATATTAGAGCTAGATGTGGCTTACACCTGTAATTGCAAGACTTTGGGAGACCAAGGCAAGAGGATTGCTTGAGGCCAAAAGTATGAGACCAGCCTGGGAAAAAATATTCAGATCCTGTCTCTGCAAAAAAATTTTATTTTAAATTAGTCCGGGCTGGGTGGGATGGCTTATACCTGTAAATCCAGCACTTCAGACACCAAAGCAGGAAGATTGCTTGAAGCCAGGAGGTCAAGACCACCCTAGACAACATAGCAAGACCCCAACTCTACAAAAAACTTTTAAAAAAATTAGCCATGCATAGTGGCATGTACCTGTAGTCTCAGCTATTCAGGGGATGAGGTGGGAGGATGCTTTGAGCCCAGGAGGTCAAGGCTGCAGTGAGCGGTTATCACAACACTACTCTCTAGCCTAGGTGACAGAATGAGACCCTGTCTGAAAAAAACAAAAAAATTTAGCCAGGCATGGTGGCATGTTCCTATAGTCTCGGCTACTCGGAAGGCTGAGGTAAGAGGATCCCTTGAGCCCAGGGGTTTGAGGCTGCAGTGAGCTATGATCACACCACTATACTCCAGCCTGGATGACAGAGTGAGACAATGTCTCTAAAAAAAAAAGTTAAATTAGTAAATAAGTATTATGTACTGGGGACCTATATGAGGTCCTTTATTACATGCTAGGGATACAAAGACGAACAAGAAAAAAAATGCCTCTAAGATTATCAGCCTAATTTGAAAATACACAAAATCTGTATCAGATTAATATTTTACTAATGAAATGATTTTTTAAGATTAAATAACAGCAGTCACCACCAATCAAACCATATACTAAGATACCGATTCCCCTAGACCCTTTTAAAAAAATATAGTACCATAACCACTATTGATGTCATGTAAAATTTCAAAATGAATTAAATGCTATGGCCAGAAGTCAACTACATCATCATAATATACATTTTAACACATTTAGAATCACTGTACTAGGCCGGGTGTGATGACTCATGCCTGTAATCCCAGCACTTTGGTAGGCCAAGGCATAAGGATCACGAGGTCAGGAGATCGAGACCATCCTGGCTAACACAGAAGGTCAAAAGTTCAAGACCAGCCTGGCCAACATAGTGAAACCATCCCTACTAAAAATACAAAAAATTAGCTGGGCATGGTGGCGCACACCTGTAATCCCAGCTATTCGGGAAACTGAAGAAGGAGAATCGCTTGAACCCAGGAGGCAGAGGTCACAGTGAGGTGAGATTGCGCCACCACACTCCAGCCTTGGCGACAAAGCGAGACTCCATCTCAAAAAAAACAAAGGAGCTAGGCACGGTGGCTCACGCTGTAATCCCAGCACTTTGGGAGGCTGAAGCGGGCAGATCACAAGGTGAGGAGATCAAGACCATCCTGGCTAACACAGTGAAACCCCGTCTCTATTAAAATACAAAAATTATGTGGGCATGGGATTACAGGGCAAGCACCTGTAATCCCAGCTACTTAGGAGGCTGAGACAGGAGAATTGCTTGAACGCGAGAGGCAGAGGTGGCAGTGAGCCAAGAGAGTGCATGATTGCACTCCAGCCTGGGTAACAGAGCAAGACTTTGTCTCAAAAAAAAAAAAAAAGAAAAGGAATCACTATACTAAAACTGCTAGGCACTTTACAGAAGTTATTTCTAACCTTCAGACCAACCTTGTAAAGTCTGTCTATGATCTATATTTTACAGCAGAGAAGTTAGACATAGAGAGCATTGGTGGACCAGAAAGTACTTAGGTGTGAGAAATGAACCCAGAATGACCAACTCTAATACCCTTATTTTTCACTAAAATATGCCTTTAGTCCTCTTTCTATGCTTTTTCCTCTTTGAGAGGAAAAACAAAAACTAAGTATTTGAGAGAATACTTTATTTATGTATTTATTTTTCAGTTAAGGGGTACATGCGCAGTTTTGTTACAAAGGTAAACCTGTGTCATGGGGGTTTGTTACACAGATTATTTCATCACCCAAGTGCTAAGCCCAGTATCCATTAGTTATTGTTTCCTGATCGTCTTCCTCCTCCCACCCTCCCTCCGTCCTCCAGTAGGACCCAGTGTCTGTTGTTCCCCTCTGGGTCCATGCGTTCTCATCATTTAGCTCCCCCTTATATGTGAGAACATGTAATATTTGGTTTTCTGTTCCTGCATTAGTTTGCTAAGGATAACGGCCTCCAGCTCCATCTGTGTTCCTGAAATGGAACATGATTTCACTCTTTCTTTATGGCTGTATAACATTCCATGGTGTATTTGTATCACATTTTCTTTATGCAGTCTATCGCTGATGGGCATTTAGGTTGATTTCATGTCTTTGCTATTGTGAATAGTGCTATGATGAACATACAGGTGCATGTGTCTTTATGGTAGAACAACTTACATTCCTTTGGGTATATACCCAGTTATAGGTCTGTTGGGTTGAATAGCAGTTCTGTTTTTAGGTGAGAGAATATTACACTTAAACGAGAATATGTCACAAAAAAATTCCAACAGTATACCTCTACCTATGAAAAAATCATGTAGTCAAATTAGACTCTAGAATCAGCTCTTGTGATCAACTCTCAGCTTTCCTACTACTGTAACTCTATGAACATGAGCTAGTTACTTAACCTTTCTGCACTGCCCTCCTAAACTATAAAAATCAGCTTGTTTTAGATTTAAATAGTCAGTTGTAGAGATTAAAGGAAACAATATTTAAAAGGTTTTGGCACAGTCTAGTTATACTACATGTTCAACAAATAGTAACTATAATTATTAGTATTAATATAATGACTACACTATTTAACAACATTTATAAAGGATATATTTAAAGAGATTTTTAAATAATAACTTAAAAATAAGATAAACACACTAAAATACCTCAAGGCATTTAAGAAACAGACTCTCCAAACATGCTCCTTTGTCATCATATAAAATTGCCTGTATTAAAACAAAATAAATGTTAAAAGAGAACAACACAATTATGCTTTTCTTAAACATCTTCAAGAGAAAGTAAGTAATTGTTATATAAGTAGATCATATAATGAAAGGATTACATTTGTTGAACTTGGATTTGAAAATGCCTCTATTTTGAATGTTTTTTAGGCATCAGTCTGTGTAAGAGAGTGAAGGCATACACAAAAGAAATTCAAGAACTTAATTCCTACCAGGAGGATATGAGAATGAAACTGGGAAGAGGCTGGGTGCAGTTGCTCACACCTATAATCCCAGCACTTTGGGAGGCCGAAATGATGGGATCACCTGAGGTGAGGAGTTCCAGACCAGCCTGGCCAACAGGGCAAAACCCCGTCTCTATTAAAAATACAAGCCGAGGCAGGAGAATGACTTGAACCTGGGTGGCAGAGGTTGCAGTGAGCCAAGATCATGCCACTGCACTCTAGACTGGGCAACAAAGCGAGACTCCGTCGGAAGGAAGGAAAGAAAGATGGAAGGAAGGATAGAAGGAAGGACGGAAGGAAAGAAGGAAGGAGGGAGGGAGGGAGGAAGGAGGGAGGGAGGGAGGGAGGGAGGAAGGAGGGAGGGAGGGAGGGAGGGAGGAAGGAAGGAAGGAAGGAAATTGGGAAGAAAACATAATTGAAACACATTGAAGGAGATAAATAGGAGGCAAGATCATTTGAGAGATTATTGCAGTAGGATGGTATACAGGATGAAGAAGACGATTAGCACTTAAAATAAGGTACTGGCATCTGGGATAAGACAATTATTTATGAGATACAATGAATAAAACTTGTTAAATGTGAGGGATAAGGGGAAAAAAAGGAAGGTAAGGTAATTGCCATTTTCTAGCTTTCCCCTTGTCTCTAGCCCTTTTTCATAGCAATTTTTCCACTAGTCCCTTTAACATTGGTGTTTCCATCATGTTGGAAAACAGTTTGGTAATTCCTTAAAAGATTAAACATAAAGTTCTCACATGAGCCAGTAATTACACTCCTAGGTATATACCCAAGAGAAAAACTTTTGTATATGTCTATGCAAAAACTTACACATAAATACTCATAGCACCATTATTCATAATGGCCAAAAAGTTGAAGTAACCCAAATGTATATCAACTGTATTATAAATGGATAAATAAACCATGATCTATTGGGCTCAGTACATGGCTCATGGTATAATCTCAGGTACTCCAGGTACTCTAGGCTGAGATGCAAAGATCATCTGAAACCAAAAGTTCAAGATCAGTCCAGGGAACACAGCAAGACTCTATCTCTAAGAAAAAAAAAAACTTTTTTTTGAGATACAGTTTTGCTCTTGTTGTCCAGGTTGGAGTGCAATGGCGTGATCTTGGCTCACTGCAACCTCCTTCCCCCCGGTTCAAGCGATTCTCCTGCCTCAGCCTCCTGAGTAGCTGGGATTACAGGCATCTGCCATCATGCCTGGCTAATTTTTTGTATTTTTAGTAGAGATGGGGTTTTACCATCTTGACCAGACTAGTCTTGAACTCCTGACCTCCTGATCCACCCACCTTCCCTCCCAAAGTGCTCAGATTATAAGCATGAGCCACCGTGCCTGGCCAGAAAATTTTTTTTAATTAGTGGGCATGGCTGTGTAAGCCTAAGTAGTCCCAGCTACTTAGGAGGCTAAGGCAGAATAATTGTTTGAGCCTAAGAATTTGAGGCTACAGTGAGCTATGATTGCACCACTGCAATCCAGCCTGGGTGACAGAGCAAGACCCTGTCTATTTAAAAAAGGAAAATCATGATAAATCCATACAGTGTAATACTATTTGCCAATAAAAAATAAAATACAGGCCAGGTGTGGTGGCTTACGTCTGTAATCCCAGCACTTTGGAAGGCCAAGGCGGGTGGATCATGAGGTCAGGAGTTCGAGACCAGCCTGGCCAATATGGTGAAACCCCATCTCCACTAAAAATACAAAACTTAGCTGGGCATGGTGGCAAGCACCTATAGTGGCAAGCACCCAGCTACTCAGGATGCTGAAACAGAATTACTTGAACTAAAGAGGCGGAGGTTGCAGTGAGCCAAGATCATGCCACTATACTCCAGCCTGGGCAACACACTCCATCTCAAATAAATAAATAAAATATATATGAAGATATATGCTTCAACATGGAAGAACCTTGGAAATATGCTAAATAAGACCTATTCACAAAAGATTATTTGTTATATAATTTCATTCATGCAAAAATGTCCAGAATAGATAAATCTATAGAGACAGTAAGTAGATTCATGTTTGCATAGGGCTGGGGGCTAGATACTGAGTAGTAACTGCTAAAGAGTATGAGATTTCTTTTGGGGGCAACAAAAATATGCTAAATTTAAATTGTGTTGATGGTTGCAAAACTGTGAAAATACTAAAAATAACTGAATAGGTGAATCGAAAAGTGTGTGAATAAAGCTGTTTAAAAAATGGTATTCTTGAGATGGAGTCACTGCACTCCAGCCTGGGTGATAAAGCAAGACTCCGTCTCAAAAAAAAAAAAAAAAAAAGTTGGTATTCTTGTCCCTCTATTCTTTTAATTCAATACACTCTCCCTGAGCACTATCATCCATATAAATCAGATCATGTTATGCTCCTGCTCAAATCATTCCAATGTCTCTACAGCTCCCTAAGAATAACAAAAGTTCTTTCCATAGCCAGTGAGGCTTATATAATCCCCTTTATTTCCATTCTCACCCTTGCTCACTCATTCCAACCACACTAATGTCCTTGTTATTGTCTTACTCACTAGACATACATATTCATTTAATTTAGTGGTCTATCTCCTCCATGTTATTTCCATGAAGTCAGGGATTTATCTGTTTTGTTCTCTGCTGTATTTCTTAGAACAGTATGCAACTCACTCAGATGCTCAAAAAATATGTGTTGAATAAATGAATCCACTCCAATAGTTTCAAATACCATCTAAAAGCCAAGGACTTCTAATCTATACCAGTAGTCCGGAACTCCTTCCTGAGTTATAGGTCTCTACAGCTAATTACGTGTTTCCATACTTCAAATTTATTTATTTATTTATTTATTTATTTATTGAGACGGAGTTTCGCTCTTGTTACCCAGGCTGGAGTGCAATGGCGTGATCTCGGCTCACCGCAACCTCCGTCTCCTGGGTTCAGGCAATTCTCCTGCCTCAGCCTCCTTAGTAGCTGGGATTACAGGCACGCGCCACCATGCCCAGCTAATTTTTTGTATTTTTAGTAGAGACGGGGTTTCACCACGTTGACCAGGATGGTCTCGATCTCTTGACCTCGTGATCCACCCGCCTCGGCCTCCCAAAGTGCTGGGATTACAGGCTTGAGCCACCGCGCCCGGCTATTTATTTTATTGCATTTATTTTTTCTCTTTTTGAGACTGAGTCTCACTCTATCGCCCAGGCTGGAGTGCAGTGGCATGATCTCGGCTCACTGCAACCTCCACCTCCTGGGTTCAAGCAATTCTTGGGCCTCAGCCTCCCAAGTAGCTGGGATTACAGACACCCACTACCACTCCTGGCTAATGTTGTTTTTTTTTTTTGTTTTTTCTTTTGAGATGGAGTCTCACTTTGTAGCACTGGCTAGAGAGTGTAGTGGCATGGCTCTGTCATCCAGGCTGGAGTGCAGTGGCGCAGAATCAGCTCACTGCAACCTCCACCTCCCGGGTTGAAGTGATTCTCATGCCTCAGCCTCCTGAGTAACTGGGACTATAGGCACGTGCCACCATGCCCAGTTAACTTTTTGTATTTTTAGTAGTGATGGAGCTTCACTGTGTTAGCCAGGATGGTCTCGATCTCCTGACCTTGTGATTTACCCTCCTTGACCTCCCGAAGTGCTGGGATTACAAGCATGAGCCACCATGCCCAGCCAACTCATTTTTATATTTTTAATAGAGACGGTTTCACCATGTTAGCCAGGCTAGTCTGGTCTCGAACTCCTGACCTCATGTGATTCGCCAGCCCCCAAAGTACTGGGATTATAGGCATGAGCTACTGCACCCAGCCTCAAATTTATTATGTTCAAAATGGAACTAAAAATCTTGATTGTTCCCATTAACTTATTTTTCTTTTTGAAATGTCTCATTTCAGAAGATAAATACAGAAACCTAAAAGTCATTCTGGATCCTCTTCTCACCTTCAATATCCAACATCTAAGAGGCTATATTTTCATAATTTCTCTCTAATTATTCTTTTTCTCTATTGCCATTGCTAATGCCTGCTTGGTCAGACTTCCATTACTTTTTGTCTAGATTATTCTACAGCCTCCTTAAGTCTTTGAAATCCAATCTGACTTTCATCCTATACAACTTTTACACTGCTGCCAAACCAATCTTTCTGAAATACAAACATAGCCAGCATGGTGGCTCATGTCTGTAATCCCAGCATTTTAAGAGGCTGAGGCAGGTGGATCACTGAGGTCGGGAGCTGAGACCAACCTGGCCAACATGGTGAAACCCCATCTCTAATAAAAACACAAAAATTAGCCAAGCGTGGTGGTGCATGCTTGTAATCCTAGCTACTCAGGAGGCTGAGACAGGAGAATCGCTTGTACCCAGGAGGCAAAGATTGTAGTGAGCTGAGATTGTGCCACTGCACTCCAGCCTGGCCGAAAGAGTGAGACTCTGTCTCAAAAAAAAAAAAGAAAAGAAGAGAAACAAATATACGTATAAATACACACACGCACACACACACACACACACATTATTATTATTAACCTTAGTCACTCAGCCGGGCACAGTGGCTCACACCTGTAATCCCAACACTTTGGGAGGCTGAGGCAGGTGGATCACTTGAGGTCAGGAGTTCAAGACCAGCCTGGCCAATATGGTAAAACCCTGTCTCTACTAAAAACACAAAAATTAGCCAAGCGTGGTGGTGCATGCTTGTAATCCTAGCTACTCAGGAGGCTGAGACAGGAGAATCGCTTGTACCCAGGAGGCAAAGATTGTAGTGAGCTGAGATTGTGCCACTGCACTCCAGCCTGGCCGAAAGAGTGAGACTCTGTCTCAAAAAAAAAAAAAAAAGAAGAGAAACAAATATACGTATAAATACACACACGCACACACACACACACATTATTATTAACCTTAGTCACTCAGCCGGGCACAGTGGCTCACACCTGTAATCCCAACACTTTGGGAGGCTGAGGTAGGCAGGTCACCTAAGGTCAGGAGTTTAAGACCAGCCTGGGCCACATGGTGAAACCCCATCCCTACTAAAAATACAAAATTAGCTGGGTGTGGTGGTGCGTGCCTGTAATCCCAGCTACTCAGGAGGCTGAGGCAGGAGAATTGCCTGAACCCAAGAGGTGGAGGTTGCGGTGAGCCGAGATCATGCCATTGCACTCCAGCCTGGGTAACATGAGTGAAACCCCGCCAAAAAAAAAAAAAAAAAAAAAAAAAATAGTCACTCTACTGTGCTACTGAATATCAGATCTTATTCATTCTATCTATTAGTGAAACTTTTTTTTTTGAGATGGAGTCTCACTTTGTTGCCCAGGCTGGAGGGCAGTAGTGCAATCTCAGCTCACTGCAACCTCCACCTCCTGGGTCCAAGCAACTCCTCAGCCTCCCAAGTAGCTGGGATCACAGGCATGCACACCACACCCAGCTAATTTTTGTATTTTTAGCAGAGACGGTGTTTCACCACGTTGGCTAGGCTCATCTCGAACTCCTAATCTCAGGTGATTCACCTGCCTCAGCCTCCCATAGTGCTAAGATTACAGGCACGAGCCACTGCACCTGGCCTGGTGAACCTTTTTTTTTCCTTTTTTCAGGAGGTTATTAATGAACTATTTTTATAATGCACAAATTAGCCACTGTGATATGGTGATCATTTGAAAAATCTGTTTTCACATCATTTCAGTGTATGGATATATTTGACATTTTATCACATATAGTTTTTTAAATATTCAATCAAAAATAGAGAACCTCACTCTTACACTCTGTAGTCAACTGCTTTGTACTCACTTTGTTTCCTAAGTGAGTGATCTTCAGAATTCCATCTTGCCACACTTTTGACTTCTTCATCTTCTGATGAGTATATAGGACCTTATTTCCAAAAACACAAAAAAAAATGATTTCCATTATATATATTCAATGTTATATACTTCATATATCCTTCCTACATATGAAATATATTTCAGGCACCTTTCATCAAAAAAAAGGCATATACACCCATATCAATTTTTTAAATTTTAAAAACAGAAGCACAGATATGACAATAACATTAAACATTAATTAAATGAAAGAAAAAGGGAAGGAAGGGAGAGAGGTAAGGAGAAGAAGAGGGAGGGAGTAAGGGAGGAAAAGAAAGGGGAAGAAAGAAAGGAGAGGAAAAATCCAAGGAAGAAACAAAAATATAAATGAGCACTGAAAGTAATTTGAGCTCCCTACTCATCAGTGAAAAGGGAAAAAATTATTGAGTTACACAGTACTCATAATCTGTGCAGTTCTCAAAGTTTGGTCCAGAGACTCCTGGAGGTCTCTAAGACCTTTACAGGTGTCTGTGAGGTGAAAACTCTTTTCATCATGCTGTCTTTTCATCCTCACTCCTTCAGGGTTGCAGAATGAAGTTTCCCGGGATTATGTATATGCAATATTGCAAGATTCAATTGCAGCCTGAATGTAGAAACAAATATGAGACTCTAGTTGTCTTCTATTAAGTCAAATCATAAATACTTTTTACATGTCTGTTTTAATTTATTTCTAGTATGCAAAACATCAATAGACGTGAGACCTACATAAACGAGTTCTCTGGGGTCAATAATTGTCTAGAGGGTTAAAGGGTCCTAAGACCCAATAATGTGAGAACCAATGATCTGTACAGAAGAGGTGTGCCAGTTCTTTAAGAGAAGATATTGTTTCCTGGTCTCACACTTCCAAACAATAGGTTACAAAGGACTTTGTCTAATACTTGATCTTAGCCAAAAGGCTGAAAAGTGATGATTTTGTGTAAAAATATAAATAGCAGGTAACAGATAGGGTTGCCAGATAAAACACAGTGCAATATTTGGGACATCCTTATGCCAAGAAAGGTATGCATTGTTTATCTGAAATTAAAATTTAACTTAGTAGCCTGTTTTTTGTTTTGTTTTTGCTAAATCTGGCAATACAGCAAGATGTTTGTGAAGCGCCCTTAAAAGAAAGAAGGAAGAAAGGGAGAGAGGAAGGGCATTTCAACTGTGAAAAATGGTAAAACTTACAATAAATTCTTGGCTTTCCATCATTTCTTCTGAAGTTATAAACCGCAGGTACAGAAAATAGGAAGTAGTTATTCAACTATTTATACCACCTAAAATTAAAAATGACAAAAAATATCAACCTTTATTTTTTTAAAGTATCAAATATAATTTTTCTCAATAAACTCTTGACCACAGACAGACATGAATCAATGAATTCCAAGACTACCTAACTACGAAGGGAAACGGAGTTGTAATAAAGTTATCTATCACTGAGGACACAGTAAAAGTGATTATCATGCTATGAAACAAGAATTTTTTCACAAGTAAAGAAAAAACTAAGTAAAATATATAAACTAATTTGTAGTCTGTAAACATTTTTCCAGGTGCCATAATATGTATCAGAAAATAGAATTTGTCCTCCACGTTTGGTTCCTTATAGGCCAAATTTAATTTTTAAAGTTTTCTGAATTGCTTTAGTCACCACAAGATGGCCCCCTTGCGTTTTAAATTTTTCCTTTCACATCTTACATCAATATACCACAGTATCTAGGACCAAATATACATTATACAGTACCTCTGCAAGGAAAAATCTTTCCAACACTGTTGTAACAGTTACTGTAGTTATGCTATGCTGTTGGACAAAAATGTTATTGCGGGCAAATTTGGAAATCTAAAATCACTGATGGCGACCTGAAGAAGTAAACTGAAATGCCAAAAAAACATATTTTCTTTTTTTGTTCCTAAAGTGGTGCTAAAGATGTGACCCCTGGACCAACAGTATCATCTGGCTCACGCCTGTAATCCCAGCACTTTGAGAAGCCGAGGCGGGCAGATCATCTGATGACAGGAGTTCAGACCAGCCTGGCTAATATGGTGAAACCCTGTTTCTACTAAAAGCACAAAAATTAGCCAGGCGTGGTGGCGCGTGCCTGCAATCTAGCTATTTGGGAGGCGGAGGTTGCAGTGAGCCGAGATCATGCCATTGCACTCCAGCTTGGGCAACAAGAACGAAATTCTGTCTCAAAAAAAGAAACAAAGAAAGAAATGACCTATTAAATCAGAAAGTCTAGGCTTGGGGGTCCAACAGTCTATGTTTTAAGAAGCCCTCCAAGTGATGGTGACGGACACTCAAGTTTAAGAATACAGCCGGGCGCGGTGGCTCAAGCCTGTAATCCCAGCACTTTGGGAGGCCGAGGCGGGTGGATCACGAGGTCAAGAGATCGAGACCATCCTGGTCAACATGGTGAAACCCCGTTTCTACTAAAAATATAAAAAATCAGCTGGGCATGGTGGCGCGTGCCTGTAATCCTAGCTACTCAGGAGGCTGAGGCAGG